ACTCTAATCCGTCTTGCGGTAATACATATAATTATAGATAAACTTTAAATGTTAAAAAAGAAGAATCTACAAGTGGGAAAAAGAAGTTTCCTCAAACATATTTCTCTATATTCAATTGATTCAATTGTACAGGTCAGGGTTTCAATCCCTCGCTGTGCATTTCGCTTGTGTCCTTGAGCAAGACACTTTATCTGCATTGCTTCTCTCCACCCAGGCGTATAAATGGGGTTGCCTGCTCCTGCGCTGATTACCAGCAGTAACACTTGGCATGTGGACCCAATGACCAGGGAAAGGAACTGCGCATTATAACCGCAAGGAAGAGGCGCATTATAACCGCAAGGAAGAGGCGCAATATATATGCCCGTACCAGTACTATACAAAATTTAAAGTTAGCTGTCTTATATTACAATACATTGACATAAACTATCTTGTATCTTGTACATAGATATGTGAAAATTATAAAGAGATCTTGCTGCAAGAGAATTCTTTTTCTACATTATAGATATCTTCACCACCAGCTCCCTTCACAGTATACACAATACAAGAGAGATTTTAATAATGGCTTTAAAATGTGTGCTCCTGATAGTACACTACAGTACTAATACTGCTGTAAAAATAATAAAAAGTGTACAAATAAGAACAAAAATAAGAACATTTGAGCCTGAAATCGGCAAAAAGAATAAGAAGACTGAGCCTGGGCAAAATTTTACTGGTTGTATTATACATTAAAAATATTAACTCGACGACTGGGAAACTCGAACTATAACTGCTATTAATATTAAAAATATGCAGAATGACGTCATATTTTAATAGGCTCATCATCTTTGATAATCTATACTTGAGCAATGTTTGAAAAAGACAACAATTGGCAGCAGAAATTACTCAGCCATAAGGTGTATTTGGCAATCATTTACACATTGTGTAAAACAAGTATGAGCCTAAAGATATATGTATAACAAGTCAAACAAGCCTAAGATATTTTTCCAGTGTTGTTTAAAATGTTCACGATTTAACACAAGTGAATCTTTCTATCTGTTTTTAATTAGTATATATTTTTACAAGCTGTTTGTCCCTTTTGTATGTAAATAAAAACATGCAAATACATCAAATGAATTTTAAAAAAAAGTTAAATTATTCTTTCCAGGGTCTTTATCTCTCTACTGTTGAAACACTACCTGTATTTACTGTTGAAAATGTGTACTATACCTCCCACCATGATAGCAGAAAATATGTCTGTCGCCCTCTCTTATCAATTCGCAGATAAATGACACTGTTCTATTAATTTTGCTCAGTATCGTTATTAATAGTACAGTGGTATACGTACCGTAATTGTTCAGTATTATGACATTGAAAGTGGTCGTTTTGGGTGCTACTGGAAAAACTGGTTCACAAGTTGTTGACGAAGCTTTAATCCGAGGTCATCATGTCGTTGCCATTGTTCGAAATCCGTCAAAAATAACGCAGAAACACGCAAATTTAAAGGCAAGTTTAGCCGTAGGCCTAATTATCCATTATTATTTACATCCAGTCAACACGGAAGTATTGAATGCGCAGATCGTTGCTGTGCAGTACAGCACTTCGTTTGGATTTACCATGGCCTTCTGTGCAAGGTGCAATGTGCATTTGAATCTCAAATTCCCAGGTTCCTGAGTTTCGATGATAGATCGATAAAAACGCACGAAAACCCATTTGGGACAATTTTACCTCTTGGGATAAGAATAGAACCAACCCCTCCCTCCCCTGTATATAAATCAAATAAACAGTGGTCGACTAAAGGGGCATTGATGGAAAATCTTACACATAGAG